CAGAAATCTAACAATTTCTGTCTCCGACATGACAAAGGCAGAACAGTTTCTCTTCACCTAAAGCAGCTGAAGGATTTGATTGGGGGCAGGGGAAACAGGTAAACTCTGTTCTATTTCAGTTTAATCACCTATGTTCGAGAGAATACAAACAAAGTTAAACCATCGCCCACAGTCCTAGCTGTGGCACCTAAGTGGTAACAGGCTCAAGGGGCTGAATGACCTTCTGTTCCTATTTCTTAGACTTTTTAACAGCAAACATTTGGTTATTGACCTTGTACTCTACTCGCTATTCTCGATGACAGGAGCAGACTCGATCGTGATGCCCCTCGAGGATCATGAAGCTTTTATAATGCACAATGTAAATGGTTTGCCCTCTCAAGGGCAACTTAGGACAAATTGAACTGGTGTGAAGAAAGGGAAAGGGAGTCTCATTTACTGATGAAGATCCTGGAGGTCAGTTAGAGCACAGCTTCATTCCGAGTGAAGGAACGGAGGGTGTAAAGGGGAAACATTGAGGAGCAAGTTGTGATGTAGAATCATAGAATCCCTACAGTGTGGAAGCAGGCCATTCGGCCCATCAAGTCTACACTGATCCTTCGAAGAGCATCCCATCCAGACCCGCCCCTCCCCTACCCTGTAGCCTTGCATTTACCATAGCCAGTCCACTTAACTTGCACATCCCAGTGGGGACCCATATAGACACAGAGAATGTTGCCCAAGGCTGGAATCAAACCTGGGTCCCTCGCACTGTGAGGTAGCAGTGCTAACCACTGAGCCACCATGCAGCCCTGAATGCAGTCAGTGTGAAGATAAAACTGGGGTATTCCCAACAGCAAATGGCAGAAACATAGCTACCTGAAAGCAATGGTCTTCTACAGTAGATGATGAATACTTGAACAGAGAAGAGGAGAAATGTCTTCACTCCAGAAAATGGTAAGCCTGAGGAATTCTTTGCCGGTTGAGGCCAAAACACTGAACGTGTTCAAGAAAAAAAGTTAGATATAGTTCTTGGAGCTAAAGGGATTGAAGGGTATGAGGAGAAATGGGACCAGGGTTGGATGGCAGAGCAGACTTGAAGGGCTGAATGGCCTACTGCTGCTCCTATTCTCTATTTAACTGGGACTTTCTCTGTGGTGACAGGGTCCTGAAGGTGATGAAATAATAAAGAAAGCGGTGGATGATCCGGAAAGTTTTGTGCTAAAGCCACAGCGGGAGGGAGGAGGTAAGGTGGTGATTTTAAACTCAAGGGCAAGTTGTCCTCTTGTACTTGGGCCTGATGGTTGCCCGTGAGGGGAGAACCTGGATATTACAGAGCCTGGCTGGTATTCCACAGTGGCCCAGAGTGCCACTGAAGTTTCTTTAGAATGCTGGATGTCAGCCGTGGCTCAGCAGGTAGATCAAGAGGTTACGGGATCAAGTCCCACTGTCATGAATGAAGCACAAAATCCAAAGTGACACTCAGTATCGCAACAGAGTTCAGATGACACCCTTCAGTTGAGACATTAAACTAAAGCCAGTTGACTCTGTATGTATTTGCCCTATCACCTTCAGTCTAAACTATCCCTAAACTTTCCCACCTTCTAAACCCCCTCTTTGTTGCACTGTGAGCTTCCAAACACTGACTCAATGAGTATTTTATTAAAGCAATAAAGCAGTTTGCATTTATTAACATCTTTAACATCAGAATGTCCCAAAGTACCTCATAAAAGTGAAAACAGACTTGATGATGAGTGAAATGGTTGTTAGTTAAGGGTTGTTAAGGTAATAGGCAAAGCTAGACAGAGAAATGAATAACTAGTGCTACATTTAGACTGTCATGGCTATTATAGTAGAAGCCACTCTAGGAGCCTTGGGTAAAAGATCAGACAATGGCTGTGGGAAAACAAAGATAATGAGAGGCATGTGATATCATGCTGTGATCTGTGCAAAACTTGAAGGGGTTCTGTAACCTACCAGAGCAAGCTTTACTCTTCCTGGTGACAGGTTTCCTCTCTACATACATCCGCATGAAATAAAATTATCCTGTTTTCCTGAAGTCCTCTAATCGGTTTCTCAAGTTGACCTCCTGACAAACGGCCATGTTAGGATGGGTCCGATGGAGACAATTAGGAAAGGCATTCCAGACCTTCAGGCGTAAGCACCTGAAAGCGCTACCAACAGTAGAGTGTTGAAAATCAGGAGAGTGGACGTGGCCAGAATTGGAAGAGAACAGAGACTTTGACAGGTTGTGGGGCTGGAGGCAATTAGAGTTAGGGCAGGACAGTAAAAAGCCATGGCTGGAATTGAAAAACAGGATGTGAATTTTCAAATGGAGGCATTAGCAGACTGGGTGCCAGTGGAGGTCAGCAAGCAGGAATGGGCAGTGTGAGACGAGTTATGATAGAACTGCCAGAGATCTGACTGTCCCCAGTCCATTCGCAGAGATGAAAATGATAGCGAGCAGTGATGAAAACAGCTGCAGGAATGGGGACTTAAACCTTTCAAAGAGTTTGCATTAAAGAGAGAGGTTGTTTCAAAGGTGGTGGATTATTTGTCAATTCATTCACGGGATACGCTCTTTGCTGCCCTGGCCAATGTTTATTGTCAGTCTCTAATTAACCAGAGGGCAGTTGAAAGTCAACCACATTGCTTGGGTCTGGTGTCACATGTAGGCCAGACCAGGTAAGGTCTAAAGGAATTGGACAGATGGGCATTTTCAACAATTGACAATGTTTTCATGGTCATCCCAGATTTTAATTGAATTCAAATTCCACCATCTACCATGGTGGGATTTGAACCTGGGTCCCTGTTATAAAGCCGAGGTCAACCGCCTCTCTGATAACTAAAACCAAAACACCCAGAGAGGCGCACCTCGCCTTGTTATTTTCAGCTAAAAGGGAGTGTGGAAAGTGGTGTAATGAGCCCCCAGTTTGTTATAAAGGAGTGGTTAAATATAAATAAATCCCTGACACCCACTTTACAATCAACAAATAGCAATTTATTTATGTAATAGTGAACAAATTAACTAAATTATTAACAAATCGAATAAACCCCTTCTAACTACTAACTATTCCCGAATAAAACAAGATTCTAATGGTGTCCTGTTTTGATAAAATCAAGACCCACTTCCTTTATAAACCAAAATAATAAAAATTTAATTACAGCCAGGATATGTCTTCCAGAATGTTCTGTACCTTCTCCGTTGATCTTCAGTCAGGAACGCCTTCCTCCGACAAATTCTTGATTCAGGAACATTAACTGAGTGCTGCTGTACCTTTAGTTAGATGATGGTTACTCAGAGAGCTTAGAGAATTCTGTGAGAGCCAGTGATTTTTCTCTTTAGGGCTGATGGTTGATAACTCGTATCAGACAGCAGTTGCGCTCTCACTGATTTTCAAATGCCCTCTTCTTATATACCCTCGATGACATCAGTTTCTTACAATAGGATTGTTTCAATGTTGTCAAGACCATCAGATTTAATTTAGTTTTTTTTTTAAGAGTCTAAGTGCCTGGTTTAAATTAATTGGCTGATATTCAAACTGGTTGCCTTGCTAACAAAACAAAACTCCTGCCTGGATTGTTAACCGTACAGCCTTTAATACAAATGTTTCAATTTCAGGAGTTCTCTGTGCCCCTGCAGCCCACAAGTTGCCCACAGACACGTTTTTTGAATCTCTAAGCACAGAAAAAGCACATCAGCTTTTAAAGGGGACCACGGACTCTTCCCCAACCCCCACCAATGATTTTACAAATATCAAATTCTAACTTCCTGCCTTCCAATCCACAAATACTCTACCTAACTCCGCAACAGTCCCGAAGACATTACGTGGGTCTCTGGATTAAATAGTCTCATGATAATTCCAATTGGATATCACCTCAATTGAAAATAGAAAGCTGTACTGTTGAAGTCGTGAAAGAAAACAGAGAGGAAACAAGAAGAAAGAGTGTGTCCATGAATGTAGGACTGATGGTGGCTGGAGACCCAGGAGGGAAGGTGCAAAGACAGGGAACTTGCAAACCAATGCAGAGGGGATGAGGAAGCCCTTAAAGGATGGTCTGTACTGAAGTAATGGGAATTAGTGCTCAGATCTGAAGCTTGGCTCAGGGTTCACACGGATTGTAAATTATTGTTCTGTGAAAGCTGTCTTGGAGTTGGAGGTTTATCGCAGAATATTTTGGCCAGCGATGAACAAGTGTAGTTTTATTCTTGAGGATGTTGTGTTGTTTGAACATCCTTGTTGATCCAGGCTTAACTCTGGTCTTAGCAGGACTTGTAACTTGGTATTTGAGCAGTATTCTGAGAAGTGAAATTTGGTTTTGGTCGTCCACAGATCAGGACTAGGAGGGAGTCAGGAACCTATTTAGTTTGGACCATGCTGAATATGATCCTTTGGATCTCGATGAGAATACAGAGCATGTTAACTATGTTAGGACAGGTATACATAGCAGCTAGCTATGGTACTATCAGAGGAAGATTACACTGTTTACTTCATTTGTGTTTTCATGTTTTCACTTACCACCCTGAGTTTTTTCATGTTCATTTCTCACCTATCCATCCTCACTCTGTCACTCTTGCAACAAAAAACAAGCAACTCTGAATGCTGGAAATGAGAAACTAAAGCAGGCGTTGCTGGAAAGACTCAGCAGGTCTGCTAGCATCTGTGGAGAGAGAAAATAGAGTTAACATTTTGGGTCCAGTTCTGAAGAAGGATCACTGGACCTGAAACGTTAACTCTGCTTTCTCTCTACAGATGCTGCCAGACCTGCTGAGTCTTCCCAGTCATGTCCCTTTTTGTTTGTGAATGCAATCCGTTAGTTGGCAGATCTTGATTTGCTGTCTTTCCCTCCTGCTGGAAATATTGTCTTTGATCCTCGCTGCTTGTGCTTCTCCCATTAGGAAATAATATTTTTGGGGAAGAGCTCCGGCAGCTCCTTGGAGCCATTAAAGATGGACCCAAGCGATCAGCTTATATCCTGATGGATAGAATCAAGCCACAAACTGTGAAGAACTATCTACTACATCCAGGAACACCTTTGAAACTGTCAGACTGTGTGGTTGAGCTGGGCGTGTTTGGGGTCTACATCAGGTGAGTCAAGGCCATGATCTCTTCATCACATTGTCATCTTTCCCATGCACCCCCCTTCCATGTTCTATTGAACGTGCTGACTCCATGAGCTCCTTCCCAAGATTGGAGTCCCTTAGTCTGTTCTGCAATTCAGTGCTGTGTGGCAGAAGGCAGCAGCTATCAGATAGGTCTGTTCCAGTGGGTCAGGGACATCAAGACGAGCAGAGAGCTCACTCTTTTCCCAGCACTTTTGGGATCTTACTCTGTGAAATAAATCAAATCCCCCTGAAATAACTGCACAAAGGCAAGTATCCCCTCACTAAGTCACCCTTTATTTATGCCTGTGTGGTACAGGACACTGACCCAGCTAGCTCCGAGCCAGCTCCTAGAGTGAGCAGGACCCTTGACACTCCTGTTTATATCTGTTGTGCAAGGACTGCCTGATTGGGCTGTTAACCTGGTCCATTCAGGGAAGTCATGCTCACGCATGGCTGATCTCGTTTCAATCATTACACCCCTGACACTCTTGACACTTTAGCGTAATAATTAGAGGTGCCACGGCATTCATTCAATTCTTTTTGTCTAAGGCTGGTGGAAGCAGAGTGTTGCTTGTGAGGTTGAAGTAGATTTTTGGTGAGCAAGAGTGTGAAAGGTTATCAGTGACCGGTGGGAATGTGGAACCACCTGATTGGCCATGATCTTAGTAAGGAGCAGGCTTGAGGGGCTGAGACGCGTTTTCCTGCTCCTAGTTTTATATTGCCCCTGTGCTTTCTCCCCCACCCTCCATACCACACCTCCAGCCTTGTTGTCCCATCCTCCATTCTTATCTTGGACCTTGGGTTTCTTTTCCACGCTGCTCACACTGCTCCTGGTCTCCATCTAGTAGCAGGCATTGGTCATTGCAGACAGTACTGGGAATTCAGCTGATACCAACATTGTACAAAGCTAATGGAACCTGGTCAATATAAAAATACTATATTCTGATTATGTTTTATCAGATGTTAAATTTTGGCAAAGTCTCCCTCACTTTGACCACCAGACTTACACTGACCAGGCATTTTGAACGGCCCTCTTGAATATAGTACTTTTGTGAGTCACTATTTTTAAAACTTATTGCTATGAAAACCTTACTGAGGCAAGAAATTTCCAGTATTTGATAGCAGCCCATCACTGAGGCAGCTTTCTGTTTAACTGGGCTGTTCTACTTTCCTTAAATGCAATTGGTTTGAGGCCTAATCTGACTTTTATATTATAATTAATTAAACTACCACTTTAATTAAATTATTTAAATTCCCACTTTAACCCATATTCCCACTTACTTACTGACACCAGCGAAGTCTCCCTTATTCTGACTGTGCAGCTTGCTCTGAAAGGTTTTCAAAGGATTATTGTTACGTCTTCTGGTGTGTTTCCTGAGAGAGAGAGAGAGCGAGCAAGGTGAGGACCGAAAGCAATGATTTGTATGTTTTTTTTTTGCGTTGAGCTTCCCTGGAGCACTGCAGTAAGCCAGAGACACAGATGTTGGCCAGGGAACAAACTGGTGTGTTAGTGCACAAGCTGGAAGAACAACACTTCATTTTCAGCTTGGGAATTCTACAACCTTCTGGACTCCATATCGAATTCAACAATTTTAAGGCTTGAGGCACCTTCTCCCATGTCATTACCCCAACTCCCCCCACATGCCAGGCTTTGTTATTCACACGAACAAAAGCAGAAGTTGCTACAAAAGCTCAGGTCTGGCAGCAACTATGAAGAAAAAAGTCAGAGTTAATGTTTCTGGTCCGGTGATCCTTCCCAGGGCCATTGGACCCGAAACATTAACTCTGATTTTTTTTCTTCACAGATGCAGCCAGACCTGCTGAGCTTTTCCAGCAACTTCTGCTTTTGTTCCTGCTTTATAGCATCTGCAGTTCTTTCAGTTTTTACTTGTCATCAGATGGTCTGCTATAACACAAAACCCATTGTTAGCCACTAATTATCCCCACTAATAGCTGAGATAACAAGGTGTAGAGCTGGATGAACACAGCAGGCC